AGATGATGACCTGGGCAGGTGTCTCTGAGAAAGTGACATGTGGGCAAATACTTGAGCAAAGTGAAGGAACACAGTGACCTCTGGGGATGTGCTGTGAGGCAGGACTTGCACAGGGCAGGGGAGGAACTATGGCCATTCTAATGGTTGAGATTTCATGGCATCCCGTAAATCCTGAGTCTGTTCACTGGAGGGAAAAACTCGAGCTTCAAGAGGGAAATTGGCACAATGTCATATTCCTGTGAGGGGTGGAGATGGGACTACACAGGATTTGGTGCTTCTCCACAGCTTCCCCGTGGAGATCCTAACAGGCCAGGCCTCTGGAAGGATAGGGAAAAACAGACCTGTTCAGTTCCCGTGGCTCAGCACAAGGCCTGGCCCACAAGACTTCCAAGACAACCTTTGTGTTCCTGGTGAGTGAGGACTAAATGCCTTTGGAGGAGGATCCATGAACCTTTGCCAGTGAGAGAACTAAGGAGCCAGGGCAGGGCTTTCTCACCTCTATCTTCTGGATGGCCTCTGATCACACTGGTGGAATCCCGAGTCTATAGCCATGAGTCCTCTGGACAAAGGTGGACACTGATGTTCAGGGAGAGAAGACCTACGTGAGCTAGCCATCAAGTCTTCCCAGAGACCATAACCTTACCTTCCTTACCAGTCCTCTCTCTGGGCTCCAAGAGGAAGAAGTTCCCCTTAAAACAGAAACCTGTGTGCTCAGAGCTGCGATCCAGGTCAAGGGAGTGCCATGCTGGAGGAACTCCTCCGGGTGAGGGTCTGTGTGTGAGGAAACCAGACAGGCTGCCTGCAGAAGGGGACTTGCAGGTGGCCTTGGAGGGTAAGGGTGTGCGTGGCTACGGACAATACCCCAGGAGGATATCCATCAGAAACAGAAGTGGGCAGAGGCTTCGTTTCAGCCTTCACGTGGCGCCCGTGAGCCATCGAGTCTCACTGAGTGATGAGACTCTGGACCTGCAGACTTGAAAGGGATCCTGGGTCCTACCTGGGGTGGGAAAGACATCCCTGGGTGCAGCGAGGTCTCCCGAGAGGCGGGGGAGGGGTCTTCTCCCCCTCCCCTCCATCGCCTC